CAGTAAAAAGATGTAAGCTTTCCGTACTTTCTATGAGCTGTAGTTTCCATGTATTTGTATGTTTTTTTTTCCATGGTACATTCCTATGTGTCCTGCGCGCATCGTGCGACCGATGTGTCCTAGTTAAATGTGCGTTCTACGTTTTGTACGTTCTATGTACTTATTGACTGAGTGGGAGGGCCGTACGGGAAAATATTTGCCTCGAGCTTATGCCGTACGGAACGAGCGAAACCAAATATTTTCCCGTACGGGCCGACCTAACTCAGTCAATAAGCATTTTATCATATGACAGCGTTTTTTAAGCCATTTCTTTGATAAAAGCGCGCGGAACTTCAAGCCGGGAATATACGGGTTTGTACGGCCCTGTCACGAGAAGGCGTACCGCCCCCATCACGACGTGACCATTTCCCAAAGGTCTTTTAAGAGCGTGCGTAAGGTCATTCTTTGCTCAAGAGGGGACTGGGAATGATAATAGATAAAAGGCCTCAGGGCCGTTCTTTCTATATTTTTCTGCGTTTCATACAACAATGACTCAGTAAAGAAATTGAGATTGTTGTCGTTGTTGTTAATAAAAAAAGAGGATTCGATTCGCTACTCAATTTAAATGACAGTCTCTCTTTCAACTATTATCAGATCCTCTTGCTCAAGTATTTTTAACTCTTCTTGTGTTCTAGTGTTACGCTTGATCCACTGAGTTGTTTGAATCAAACAGATAGACAGCAGTTGAATCCCGGCAGCAGTGAAGAAAACAGGATGGTATGAACCACTGACGTCAGATATAAAACCTGTTGACATAAAACAATCTTCGTTAACGATAAAGACAATTGAGTTGTCTCTAGCTTGAAAAAACAATTTTAATTTTCAAGCTAGAGACGACTCAATTTTCTTTATCATGCAACATCCTAGCTGCAACTTCAAAATCTTCGTTAACGTTGGCTTGTATTATTTCTTCATCTTTTTTTAAATCTTTTTTTTTTTATTTTTTTACAGAATGGACAATGCAGACATCAGAAAGCAGTCATGTTATTTGATGAGCGGTCCCTAAAGTTGACAAGGCTAGAAAGACTGTTTGGCATGGATGCGCAGCAGATTAGACGCCAGATGATGGACAGAGAGAAGTGTTTTATGAACGGACCCCTAGGAGACAATTCTCTGTAAAGCGGAATACAATGATGATGATAATCATGACCATGAGCAGTATACTAAGGAGAACTCTTGGAATAGCTGATAAAAAAAAATTAATTTCCTAGGCGTTTCGTTGCTTAACGGAGTCAGACCTCTTAAGGAAATATTTTTCTACAACTAAAACTTCTCCCATTTTTGTTCTGAAGATCTAAAAAGGCTAAATAATGGTCCAACGTGCGCTTTCTCGTGAGACGCATGCTCTATGGGACAATATTCAGCGACGCCATTTTGTGCGGCAAAGTCTTACATGAGTTGCAGCCCTTGCATT